AAAAAAAAAGCAGCAAAAAGAAAAACAAAAGAGAAAGAACAACATAAAGAAAAAAAAGGGAGAAAGAGCGAGAGAGAAAAGGGAGAAAGAGGCAAGAGAGAGACAAATCTAATAAAATATATAGTATTGTTATATATTGCTATAAATGGTAATAATTAAAGAGTATATTTAAAATAAGTAATTATTTTTTAAAAGGGATCCACTCAAGTAATTAGCCCTTTTTTTTCTCTAAATCCAACACCTAATAAATAAACTAAACAAAAGAATTAACATTAACTAGCACCCAATAATTGAATATATTATGGGAAAAGGGTCTGATTTACCCCTGAACTTTATGATTTGGAGCTGATATACCCTCCGTTTAAAAAGTGGCTCATATATGCCCTTGCTGTTATAGAAATGGCTCATATATGCCCTTTTACTTAACAGACCAATATTTAATAAATTAAAATTTATTTTTTTGTCTTAATTTTAGAAAATGCCATGTGGCTTTTAAAATACCCCACTCAATAACTTTTCACCATGCCCACCCAACCCAATTGGAAACAAAAGCCCCGCTCATTTAAATAAATCAAACCCATTTTATTTCATTGTCTCCCCAATTGGAAACAAAACCCCCAGCCATTTAAAGTTTACAATAGTATTTTGATCTATTAGCTTACTAAATTTTCTGAAGAAATCGGTACCTCTTTTTTTATTTTATAAATTGTTCAATTTTTTTAATCGTTCCAGAGAAATTGGTGAACAAGCAAGCTTCTACTAAAACTGATCTTCAATGGCGATAAATTATTTTAACCGTTCAAATTGAACTGAAATGCATTGTTTTGTGTGTGTGAACTCGTCTATCTTCCTCTGTCTTTCCTATTCGTGGGTGTCATGTGCCATAGATTTCACCTTTTAGTAAAATTTTTATTGTAATAAAAAATGACTTTTGCAGAATATTAGAGCCGCCAACAGTGATGATGCCTTCTACAAGTATTGCCAAAACTCTAGCAAGGCCAACATCTTACACTATAAAATTTTGATGAAAAAACTGAAACTTCCCTCGTCAATGGAGCTCATGATACTGCCAAGCTTGCTGGTCTTCTTGAGATTTTCATCAAGAAATGGAATGAAATGGGTTTGATTTATTTAAATGGGTGGGGGTTTTGTTTCTAATTGGGTCGGGTGGGCATGGGTAAAAGTTTTTGAATGGGTATTTAAAAGCCACGTGGCATTTTCTCAAATTAAATACAAAAAAATGAATTTTTAATTTTATTAAATATTGATCTGTTAAGTAAAAGGGCATATATGAGCCATTTCTGTAACAGCAAGGGCATATATGAGCCACTTTTTAAACGGAGGGTATATCAGCTCCAAATCATAAAGTTCAGGGGTAAATCAGGCCCTTTTCCCATATATTATTTTGTTGACTTGCTTTCAATTTTCATGTACCTAAACAAAAAATATTCAATTTTTTTTGCTTCAATTTTCATGTACCCAAGAATTAACCCGAAATGATCAAAGTGATCCACCATGCCATTAACTCCGGCGTCACCCTTCTTGATACTGCCGATATCTATGGACCTAACTGAAAACTTTATCTAAAACTCTATTACTTCACTTAATCTCCATTGCAGCAACATCAATTGATTAACAGAAAGTAAAATTGAAGAAGAAAGTTTTATTAAGGGGAAGAAGAAGAAAGCTCGATTAGGAGAGCAGTTATACAATACAATTGATGAATCTACAATAATTGAAAATATCTAGCTAATGTGTGTATTTATACTGACTTGCTGTAACTAACTCTGACAGCTCATTAACTAATCATCAACTAAATATCTAACTGACTACTCTGCTAAGTTTGAATTAAGGGACATCAATACAGTTTGATAATTCTTTAACACTAACACTAATGAAATACTCATCGGCAAGGTAATATTACTCTCCGCATTTCAATTTGTTTGTCTGGTTTTGATTGAACATGAAGTTTAAGAAAGTAAAAAAACGTTGAATCTCGTGATTTTAAACTAAAGAATGTGTTTTAAAGTTAAAAATTGAAATGGAGAGAACAATTAAATGTTTATTTTTTCATTTTTTTTTAAATTTTATGCACTAGTATGGTTGTAAGTAATGCATTAACTGTTGTACCTTTTGGTTTTGGGTTTTTGGTAAGTGTGTGGTTTGTTACTTGCTAATTACTGGTGTTTGAGCTGGAATAATCTTTTTTTTTTTACTTGTGCAATATATGATTGTTCTTAGTGCTTAAAGTTTTGTACTTTACATTTTGGGGTTGGTATGATGCATTATATTTTGTTG